AACCACATGATGCAACCAAGAAACCACTCCAGGTATATCTGACACACACTGATGGGATAAATGTCAGCTCAGTCCAGGCTTTACAGCCTGACCCAGGCTCACTGAGGACTCTGAGTCCTTGAGGCAAAGCCCTGAGTTCCTCCCCTGGTGTGGCAGGCACAGCCAAGCTCCTCTCCTGTCCCAGGTGCTCTCTGTGAGCTCCAAGCTGAGGTGGCATCGCTGCTCCCTGGTGGGTCAGCACAGCTCCATCCCTCCTGCCACAGCAGCAGGAGCCAGAACAGACAGAGCCTGTGCAGGGAGGATTGATGAGCCCTTTTAGCACAGAGCCCAGGAATCAATTTTGATCTAACTGTGCTTTCCAAAGTGCTGCCCCAAGAGCTGCAGCCCTACAAGCACATCTCACTGACCTCCACAATCCACTCCTCCTCCTCCTCTGGAATTCCTTCTGACCTCCCTTTCTCATTGGGATTACACTTGTCTGTCATAAGAGAACACACAATCCCAAACTGAGGGTTGAAATTGTCTGAGAGCAGAGAATTCCTACTAAGAAGCAGGTGAGCCACAGCATTCCCCAACCTCCTGCTGTACTGGCACAACCTTTTCAAGCCACGTGAGTCTTATTGTTTTTGCTGTACTGGCACAACCTTTTCAAGCCATGTGAGTCTTATTCTTTTCCACCATGAATTTCTGTGCATCTTGGAGTCTTGAAATGCAGCAAGACCAGAAGAGAGGCAAAGCTACCAACAGGGAGACCAGAATGTCACAGAGCAGAAGAAACCAAACATGGATCAAGTGTGGTAGAATCCTGCACTGCTTCCACCACCTGAATCCTACTCCTGCTGCTCTCCTGGAGAGGGAAGAGGCAAGGGCAGAGTCCCCAACCAAACACTGTCCTTGGCAGTGAGAGAAATCCATTCCCAACCTGCAGCTCCCCAGGCTGCAACACCTGCTCAGCTAGAAAGGACTTTCCATCTCAGTTCATCTACCTACAGATACATTTACCCAATTCCAAGTGACAAGAACCAATATTAACAGAAGAAATGATAAGCTGCACAGCCACAAAGATAGTTTTGCTCTCAGAGAAATACATACATATATATTCTTCTTCAGGCAAGAGCTTTGAAAGAACTCTTTTGCCTGCAGAAGGAGGTGCAAACCTGTTTGTCAGCATGCAAATCCTTCTGCCCCTTGCGACGGGTGAAGTCTGTATCACCAGTTTAGCAGAGAGCACAGAAGTTTGACTCCTGGGAGCCCACGTGTGGTGCAAGGAGAGCAGAAGGGCTTCAAACCCAGCAAGTTAATTTGAAGACTGTCTTTGCTGCTTTCCTGGAACAAGATCTAAGTGTTACAAGGGAATATTTCTGGTTCCTCCTGTCAGAAAATGCTTCAAGTAAAACTTCCAAGGCAAAGTCTTGAAGGATCAGGACCAAATGTAGCATGAAAGAAGTGGCTGCCTCCAGGAACCTGCAGGCATAGGGACACCACAGCACCTGAACAAGCACAGCAAAGCAGCAGCACTGGTAGAAGGGGCAGAAAGCTCAAAGTTCCTCCAGCCCAAGGTAGAGCAATGCCACACTGGATGCAACACTGGAAGGTAGTGTTGACATTAGTCAGTTTGGCAGTTGATAACAATGATCTTTTAACCCATCTGGAAGGCCCAAAAGCGCAAGGAAGCCAACCCAGCACCAGTTGGGGTCAGAATTAATCCCTCCTGACTGGGCTCTACTACACAAAGGTCTGGCTAACAGCAGGAGAAGACAGTGCCTTCCTCCAAGGGAAGGTGTCAGAACCAATACAACACTGCTCCAGTCATGCAGATCATTTCCTTCCTTTTAACAAGGCTATGGCTTTGCCTCCTCTCCAGGGTGAATTGCAGTGAATTTCAGCTATTAGAGTGTCCAAAGGAAGCTGTGAAGATGGTGGAGGGTCTGGAAGGGCCATACAAGGAGTGGCTGAGGACACTGGGCTTGTTCAGCTGGAGAAGAGGAGCCTGAGGGCAGAGCTCATTAGGGTCTGCAGCTCCTCCAGAGGAGCAAAACTGGTCTCTGTTCTCTGGGACCAGGAACAGGACTCAGGGAATGGCTGGAGCTGTGTCAGGGGAGGGTTAGGTTGGATATCAGGAGAAGGTTCTTCCCCCAGAGGTGTTTGGACACTGAACAGGGTTAGGTTGGATGTCAGGATAAGATTCTTCCCCCAGAGGTGTTTGGGCACTGAACAGCTCCCCAGGGCAGTCACAGCCCCAAACTGACAGAGCTCCAGGAGTGTTTGGCCAATGTTCTCAGGCACTGGTGGATCATTGGGGTGTCCTGTGCAGGAGTTGGACTGTGGATCCTTGTGGGTCCTTCCAGCTCAGAATATTCCATTGTTCTATGAATGTTTTTTCTTGTACACATTTGCAGTGAAATGGGAAAAACCAAATTGAATTAGAAAGGTTAAAATGATAGTCCGAATTTGAGGGAAAAGCAAAGAAAAGGATCATAATTGATCATAAAAATAGCAATGCTAAGTGTCCCTCTGCAGCCTCAGTTTGCTGCCTGAGCCCTTCGAGATGCCCTTGGCCCCAAAAGAGCTATAAAGCTCACCCCAAAACCCAGGGAGTGGTGTAATACACATCTTACTGCTGTGTAACCCATCCAAGCAAGCATTAAAAACATCCCCAGCAAACAATATTTGCTCACTTTACATTCCAGCTTTACACTGCAGCTTAGCCCCTCTGATTGATTGCACAGGCAGAGTCAATAAAGAGAATCAATAGAAGATGCTCTGCTGAAGTACACAAGGAATTGAGGGGAAAAGACTTCAAAAGCAGCAGCAAATGTTTTTGGTAGAACAACACAGACACTTGTATATTTACAGACTCTCCAATCCCTCGTGGGATGCGAATTAGCAAGAGGCTCTCAGCACTGAGAAAGGAATTTAACTTGCCCTGCCCCAAACTCAGAGAAGCTGAGCAGCCTTTGCAATCCACCAAGGGCAGATTAGAGCTCCCATCCTGCATCCTCCAGCTGAGACTTGCCAGCCCCACTGCCACAGACAGTGGGGCTGCACAGGTGAGTTAAGAGTTAAATACCATTTCCACTGAGAATATATCTATATTCATGTATATGTTCAGAGAATCGTAGAATTTAGGGGTTGGAATGGACCTTACAGATCCTGCACAGCAAAGCACCAGAATCACTGTGGGATGTGCCACAAGGAAAGCCAAACTGACACTGCAGCAAGAGGAAATCCAGTCTTACCTTTCAGTGTTTGGCCTAGAAACCTTCATGGCCATGGGTTGGTGCCTTAGCTTATGGATAATCACAGAGACACACAAACATTTGGGTTGGAAGAGACATTAAAGGTCATCTCACTCCACCCCTGCCCTGGGCAGGGACACCTTCCACTAGCTCAGGTTGCTCCAAGTTCCATCCAACCTGGCCTGGAACATTCCCAGGTATGATGCAGTCGCAGGTTATCTGAGCAACCTGTGCCAGAGCCTCAGCACCCTCACAAGAAATAATTTCTTCCCAATATCTAGTCTAAACCTCCTCTCTTTCCCCTTAAAGCCATTCCCCCTTGTCCTAGCACTTGATCCCCTTGTAAAGCTGTTTTTTTTCCCCCCTACTTTAGACAAAGAAATTGCAGTTCAAGTAGCTGTGCAGCCTTTGGAATACTTTGAGCACTTCATAACCTTCCAATCCCTCAGCCAAACCTCAGCAGCTTTAAGGGATCCAATAAAAGGAGCCTCAATATTAACTACATCAAGTTTAGTTTTCAAGTCCTTTAAATCAAGCTCACACTCCATCAAACCTCCCCAACCCCAAAGAGCTCGTTAAATGCCATTTCCTCGTGGCTCGTTGCAGCTGAAGGGAAGGCACAGCACGTTACCTCTGCAGACAGGGAGAGGGAAATCCCAGGAGGCACTGTTCTCTGAGTTGGCATGGCACGTCAGCAGGGCATGGCCCTCCAGGAAGAAGCCTGGATTGCAGCTGTACCTCACTCTGTCCCCAATGCTGAACGTCGTTCCCTGCTGGATCCCGTTCTGAAGCCTTCCAGGGTTCCCACACGTGTGGCTGGGCAGAACTGCCAAAGAGAGGAGCTCCTGGTTAGGGCAGAGGTGGCAAGGGGAAGGGTTATCTCAAGGGAAATACAGCACTTTAAATGGAAAGAGCAAAGAACCACCAGACTTACCTTCTGGATTGCTCCATGATTTGTTTAGGCCACTGAGAGTTAAGAGTTAAATACCATTTCCAC